TTCGAAAATATAGCTATAGTTCTGGAACTATGTTGTCAATTATCGAGACGTTTGATATTGATTACATTCATCTAAATTAGGTTGACAATTGGATGGCTTTTAATCGATTTTTATTCATATTACTCTTACTTATATTTTGACGAGGATGAACTGTAATGTGTTGTGATATGCGCATATATATACGACGAAGATGATATGTCATTAAATAGTTCGACTAGTATGTTGCCTGATGACTCAAAGCTGATTGAAGACTTTTATAGATCTGTGACTTTTAATATCTTGTTGTTTGGTTATCAACAAAAAAGGACCTCTCACTTCAATTACCTTTGACGAATGCTGGCTTTTAAATAATCTCAATCAAGCCATGATACATACTATATCTAGTGCGATAAGTGCCTGCATGTGAATAATCTGATTGTTCTTTGGCATAGGGACTGATTCAAAAAGAAATATTATATTCTTTGATTTTGAATAATCGATATTCCAATTTTAATCGACTATAATCTTTTCTCTAGTACTTATTTTTAATACTGTTTTTTAGAAGAATGAAACAAGAAAACCTTCAGTAAATTGAAAATATGCTTCAATTCTAATTAATAGAGAAAACCATTTTCTTCCTGACAAAACTAATTGTGAAATGGCTGATTTTAAAGCAATGTTCTCTAACTCAGTGTCTATTGTGTAATTTTCGAGACTACGATCGATCCTTTTATCGTTTCTAACTAGATCTTCCATCATAACAAAAAAGCTAAATGCAATGAGAACTAGTTTTGTATTGTTAGTTGGCTAATACAAGCAATTTTCAACAGGATTTAATTGAGAAGTAATGATAGCAGAGCAATTATAATAGAGATTTATGACATGAATCAATATACGAGCTGATTCAACATTGGATTTCCCATCACTGTTCATTTAACATACGACTAAAGTTAATTATTTCCATATTATTTTTATCTTTTACAAAATTAATCTCATGAAAAGAAACTTGTTTTCTTAGCATATTCTTCAACGAAGAAGCAATATTGCTACTGATGTTTACTTGAATAAATTTAAATTTTTTCAGATTTTCTGATAAAAATTTTTCGAAGTTGTTATATTGAAATGTCATTTTTTTTAATATATTTCTCATTTTGCTTTTCTTCATTTGATTTCTGATTATTATTATAATCGATACTTTGTTGGACCATCAATATGTCGTCAGTAATCATTTTCTTTTTAATTTCCTGACCATTAACAGCATCATATGCCAGTTTATTACATATTTCATCGAGTAAAAATTGATATTTTAGACGATTTTATCTGTCACTAGTTTCTAATATGCTATATTTTTATCAAAAGTATTTATTAGCAATTTATACTGGAATTCACAAATTATTTGCATACTTAAGTATAAGTACGAAAGTATTTTTCTCGAAGCATAAGTAAAGTATCAAGTAATTCTTTCGAAGTACAAGTATAAGTACCGAGCATATTGAGCATACGTCGAGTTATGTATCAAACAAAAAGATGTGACTTTCGCCGCTAGTATCTCTAGAAAATGCTCTACAAGCTAGAGAAAGATCTTATCATTGACCTTTTCTATCAGTGTGAATGTGGTAAGTTTTTGGTATATGCGCCCGTCAAAAGAGCATACGGCAACGGAAAGTCTCTGGGACTCACTTTTGTACAACTCTATCATCGGTTTTCAATCCATTCTCATATTTGTCGTTGGATGGGATCGGTGTCGAAGTTTTGCTGTCATTAACTTGACAGACATCTAAATTTCGTCGAAGAAATGATAAAACATATAAAGGGTAGGAAAATTCTTACTTCAAACGAACAATGCTTCAATCAGAGCGAAGAATAAAACCCATTTCAGCATGGCTTGACGTTGTCTTTTGTGGGAGATAGAAATAGAGTACGAAAAGTAGCAACCGGTTAGCTATCTGAAAAATAAAAAAGTATATCAGCGATGCAGAAAGTACCATGCGGATTGATAAATAGCTCCTTTGGGCCAAGAAGTTAATTGAAAGGATTATGCTTAGTACCACCTGCCACTGTCTTTCCTTGCGTGGTTCATGCTGTCGTGCTACATGACAAGCAAAGTCTGCAAGTTATTGGGCAGCAATGGACAAGAACACCAGCAATGAAAGTCTACTCGCCATTAACATTCTTTTTGAACTGGCGAATATTCGCAAATTCTCGCTTTTTATACCTCTGTCTTATCAAAAACAACTCATACAAATCTTATTACTACTATAGTCTTATTTTATTTTTATGGTTCATAAATACAATATTACTTTGTATCAAGAGCGCTTACAGCTACTGTTATGATATCTGTTCGCAGCCGAGCAATGCTACTTGCCTCATAAAATCAAGATCGTAAAAGAAGTTATCAGGCTTTGTATGGCTGATATTTTATGGTTTAACCGGTTACCGGCCTTATGCAAACATGATGCAAAGGTTAGTCTAGGCACAATAGAAACGAATGTCATTTTTCCACATTTGTCCAGGTTGTGTTCAAGCGTTGAATTCTACCAACAGAAATAAGTTAGTTAGCATTGTCATCCGCTTCCATCGTTGTTGATAGTGCATGGTTCGTATTGATCATTCATGATTGACAACAGCTATGATCATTAAGGTCTTTTGTTGTTTTATATACGGGCATCAAATACATATCACAAATATTATACACAATGACCGTGAAAAGTTGTCGCTTTGTGAAACACAATCATTAATGAGTGTTGAAGTATAAGGCGAGAAAGTTGGATGCGCTTCCCGTGGGACCTCACTACAGATCTTCCCCATAAAGGTATCCTCTCTTACACACATCTTATGGAAATGTTTTTGCTATAGACAATTATTGGTGAGTGAGTATACAGACAGCAAGTAAGACTCTTTTCAGTGGAACAGCAATGAAGGGTTGGATTTCGATGTTGTAGAGCCTCATCATGTTTTGCATTTCAACCCCACAAGGACTCCGGGTGCGGGTGTCGGTGTCGGTGTATATTTAAGTGAAGAGGATATCTACACCCATCCATACCCACACCCACACCCACTCACCCACTGTTTTTGTACTTAAGTACAAATACCAAAGTACATGTCTTGAAGTACAAGTATAAGTACGAAGTACTTTTCTTAAAGTATAAATACAAGTATCAAGTACATCTATGAATACTTGTACTTTTACTTTTTACTTGAAAAAGTATCAAAAGTACAAGTAAAAATACTTGCGTCCTAGCTCTGATATTATAGCGGGTACAGCGTGACAGCGGCAGTTGTTCTATAAGTATGGACATCTCCGATGTATAAGTGTGCATGAAACATGATACTAATTTTGAATTTCGTGTTGGTTTTCTCTGTAACATAGAACAGCTTTAGTCTGTACTTGTGCAAACATCAAACGCAAAATTGAGCCGGTAAAATACAATTTTATTATGAACCTCGTCTGGACGCGGTTAGAAAACAATCTTTAAACACTTTTAGATGTGCTTTTATTTGAAACGCGATTAGGCGCAGTTAAGAAGGTTTTTAAAGGCATTTAAACCCGTTTTGTGTCCTGATCACGTTTGGCCACGGCTCAAACATTTTAATTGCGTCTGGATGTGATTCAATCTCAAGCGGCGTTTGTACGTGTTCGCTTCAGGAGTTTCAGACGCGTTTATACTCAGAAAAATATTTATATCAAAGCTTAGTAAACGTTTTCGGATAATTTTTTTATTTGAAAGGGGATTGTGCTTTTAGTGCATTTAACAGAGAAAATATCAACAATTAAATCGAGTCATGTACAATGTGAAATGCATTAAATTATCCGATTCCGATTGATATTCCGTTTTGACACCGAAAATAATAAAATTGAGAAAATAAACTCGAATTCCAATGGAAACCATTGGTGCTTCTTTGGATTTCCACCACTATCTTTTTTTTTCGCTATCACAAGTTAATTTTTGCTCTCATGTAACAACTACTTTGCTATTATGGGGTTGTACAGATCTTTTATTCTAAAACAATTTTTTTCGCAACTATTCGATGAATGAAGTCAAGAATATAATTTAAAAAAATGAAAACAACTTGAAATAAACTTTCGTCATATTTGAATGAATTTTTTCGTATTAGTAATACAGATTGACATCACATGTTTAAGTATAGAGTTCTATTCGAGGAGTAATAAACGAAAGTTTTCTGTAATGTGTTTTTGTTGATGCATTTTCAATAAATTTTACTAATGAAAATCTCAAATAATATTCTTTTATTCATTAAATAGCTTTTTCATATGATGTTTTCTATGGTCAATAATGACATTAGATATTATTTTTGATTATTATAGAATATCACAAATAAACAAGAAATAATAAAAAATAAATAAACTTAATTATACACATTTGATTAAAAATGAGTGAATATATGTTTTAAAAAAATTCAATTATTTTCATTTAACATTTATTCAATATTAATATTTTAATAATTGAATCAAATTGATTTATTTTCGATTAATCTTTAATAGTAAAATTATTATTCGTTTCATGATTACTGATTTAATAAGTATAATTAAAAACGTCTCGATTAATCTATTTGAAAGTAATTCAATGTAGGTTAAATAATTATTATTTAATTTCATTCTGTCATAAAAAGAACAGTCTCATTTGATTTTTTACTAAAGACAGATATTTCATCTGTCAAAAAAAGGTCTTTGAATAGTATGAAAAGAAAAGCAATTATGTAAGATATATATAACAATTTAATTAACTTTGATGAATAATCTAAACTATGCAAAAATCTAATTGATAAACATAGAAAGAAAAATTTTCGAATTCAAATTTTTTAGATAAATATTGTGATTAGATTTCATTAATCTAAAATTTGTTTTCAATTTTATTCAAGAATAAAAATTACGATGAAATACAATTAATTGATTAATTGGACACTTTTAAACGAATATTATCTATAAACAACATTGATATTTAAAAAAAATCTATACATTTACAACATATAATTGTTAGTCTAATTTAAATAAATTAAATTCAATTTAGACAAAAAATTATTTTCGATTTAAATGCTTTTTTTGTTTCATTTCGAAATGTTTTTGATATGATTAAATTTGCATAACAACTAGTACAAAATGGAATAGAACCACTAAATAAACAAAAATTTCTAATAACATTTTCAATTTGTATTCGATCAAGACTCATTAAAGGATTTTGTGTTATTTGTTGATATATTAGAAACATTGCAAATGCAAAACTAAATAATGCATAAATAATTATATCCATTAATAACATTAACGTAAGTTGACGATCTTTTGAAGAATTTAATTTAGAATATTTTCCTTCTACATATGTCCGAGTCGTAGATAACGTATTGTCAATTCTAACACGACGTAAACTTCGAATATTTTTTATAGACCATAATCCACATATTAGCAATAATATAAGTGTTAAACTTTCTTTTGTTAAAGAATAATATGTAGCAAATATAAGATGAATACCTTGTTGAAAATAACAAAGATAAGTATTTGGACCCATTTGTCGAATATTCGAACTGATTAATGCATGAATATGAAATAATGACCAAAATGATGTTCCAATTATTATACATAAACAGGCAAAACGACGATTACTTCGTTGTCGTATACGTGCATTTGATGATGTTAACAATATTCGATCAATTGAAGCCAATATCAAATAAAATGGACTTAAACAATTAGATAAAATAACTACATAAAGATATACACGACAGAGAATTAACTTGTATATAAGAGCACTTATATTATATCCTATACCTAATGTTAAAGCTAATAATGATGAATAAATAAATATTAAATTAACTATATTATGTGCAATAAAATATATTGGACATGGATTTTTTCGTAGATCTTTTTGAGTAAAAACAACTAAGTTTATTATGCAACTAATTGTACCAATAAGAATTAAAATTGGACCAGCAAATTCATATAAATATTTTTGTGCTAAATTCATTGTAGTAAGTGTAGCGCTTGATAATGGTACTGACGACATATCAATTATGAATAAGATAATATTTTATTCAATGAATATAATATGTGAAACAAATCTCTCTAGATTTATTTTATAATTAATTTATCTAAAAGAAATCATAAATAATGCATCACTTGTTTTTGACAGCAAACTCATTAACAAGATGATCAACTTTCATTTGCTCAGAACTGTTGCTGTTCGTGATTACATTCAAAACAGACAAAAAACTACGTCATTCGTTAATCAGCAAAATAGAATAAAAAATCTCCAGTATAACAATAAAAATGGTCTTAGTTTGACTTATTCACTAGAGAATCCTTTTTTTTTTGAAAAACAATTCAAATTTCTATTTTGCTGCATATTTTATTATAAATCAATATCTGTTTATTATTTAAAAAAAAAACTATGTAAATACGTATGTCTAGAAGTTTTACAAAGTATAGCATTGTTAAAAAGAGGATGTAACACGTAATTCAACATTAAACGGAATAACTCATCTTTTGTATCATTTCATTCTTTTTATACGCATTACTATGTTGTTACAGGTATCATACCTTCATCTCTTTACTTCTTTAGCTGAACAATTTCGAATCAATGACAAAAAGCCCATGAGTTGCCTAATTCGAATTCGAATACAAATGAAGGTTTGACTCATTAATGTGACTTCAAAAATAAATAAAAAAAACTTTCTAATCTCAGTAAATTTACTAAATAACTAAAGAGTCAAAAAAGATATTTTATATAAATTATTATTTATCCAAAAGAAATGTATGTCACAACAACCAAAGAACAAAAAAAAATTATATAAATTATAACTTATAATTTTAATTTATCAAAGGAAATATATGTTAGCTCGATCAAAAAGCTAAAAAAAAGTTTGATCTCCGTTATAATAATAATTCGAATTAGGTCACTTCTTCTTG